GTTGTTGGAACCGTTTCATTCATTCTACAATTTTGCAAGATTCGACAGTTCTCTATGAGTTCCATGTGTATGAACAAGGACCTTGCCATTCCCTGTTTCACCATGCCCTCATTCTCCTGAATCAGCTTTGAACAGTTTTTTGACATCCGAGGCAGACTATCTAGCTATATTTACTTACACTTGGTGGTGACAGCCTGTTGCTCTCTTCCAAGAACTCTTCCAAAGTTACCATCTCACTGCCAGGCGAAGCAGACCGTTGCCTGCCCACGTAAGACTGGGATAGGGTACTCTTCTGAGGTGTATCATAAGAGATCAAACTGGTCCTGTGGGAGGAGGCCTCATGCCTGCTGCCAGGGCTTAAGATGGCAGAAGTAGAGTGTAACGGATAGGGGTCTCGGGGCAAGGCTGATGCCTCTCTGCTTGGAACAGTATCTTCACTGCTGAGACTCTCAGTTCTACCATGGATATGATCTAAGGAACCTGAGGAGAAGCATAAATATCATTGAAGTTATTCCCTCACTTAAGTAGATTTCTCACTGAGGTAGAAACCTCATCCAGGTAGAAATCATCCACACAGACTAGATGGCATTTGTGACCTTACTTTCTTCACCCACAGGAATCAAGGCAGTTAGAACTTTGAGAAATCAGGACTATTACATATTTTATACAATGTACGTACTTACAGTACATACTTTGAGCTTGTGTTAAACAAGTATAATTACTTGTCCAAAGAATAGGAATAACACAGATTAGTAAAGGGGTCTTTTTACCATCTCTCTGACACTAGAAGATCTCCCAGTGTGGGCTGTTTGTGATCTGAGAGCCAGAACTTGGCAGTCAGAAAGCAGAGAGTGGATTTTTCCACAGTGGCAGGTCTCCTAGCATCCTTCAAAGATGTACAATTTCAGCAAAAGCAAGTCTCCAGAGCACGCTGATTCCACACATAAGCTGTGTAGAGTCAGAACAGCAGAGACCTGCTGTTGTAAAAGGAGTCTACAAGAATGGCCTGATACTTCCCACGACATGATGCCAGTCAGACTGAAACAAACCTAGACTGCCTGCCTTAAAAGCCACCCCTTGCCAGAATCAATCTTAGAAAACTACTTCTTGCCAGCAGTTCTGATTCCCAAGACAGCCATGTCCAGATTGCATAATCATTACAATTCCAAAACAACAATCTTCAAATTTAATTGGAAGCAAAACAGCATTTTGCACGCAGATTCGCGGAATTTCACTTCCTGTTTGCTAGAACTCAGCTGTAAAAGCTTTACCTTTCAAATTGAGAGGCGAACTACTGCTGGAAGCGTTTCTACTGCTCTCTACACTGTTTGGCCTGGACACTGAAAAACACAAAACAAGCACTGAACAAACAGATCAAGTTCCTCTGATTCTCTAGAAGACTTGGCTACAGTCTGCCTTCTGAAAATAGGACCTGTGCAACCAAGTCACTTTGAAAACATTAACAATGTGATATATACAGGATGCCAAATTCTGGACAGAGTAGAAACCGTTTTAATTTTTCAAGGCAAGTTGTTCAGGATTTTTGGCACAAAGAAACATGTTCTGGGTTCTCCTTTTACAGCAACTACAAACAAAACAACGTAAATACTGAAGCAGTTCAACAACAATTTGCTGTCTCTTATTCAGTTTATTTCTTTGATAGGAGCTGGTAACCACCCTGCAAATTAGGTCTTCCACAGATCTCTAAGCAAGCAGTGCTGCACCAGTGTTCCTGCTGTGTATTCACGCTAATTTTTTTTTAATTGCTGATTCATTTCCTTAAAGTAGAAATTGAACATTGTCCAGAAAAATTAGCAACAAATCTGTAGGACATGCGCATTAAAGGCCCTGTGGCCGGGGCAAGGCAACTCGTCTCAGTATCAGCACTGTTCTTTATAATTTTATTTTGGGGAAACATCCACTAGAAGCTTCTCAATAGAAAAACAGAAGTACTTAGATCCACATTCCCAAACCGATGTGTTACTGCATCTCATTCTACCATGTTAATTTAATTAAAATGCTCCAGGACAGTTCATGTGGACACAATGAAACAAGTCTTAATATAGAGATTTTGAGCATTTGTATATGCTACAAGCTTACCAAGCTGTCTGGTGCTTGCGAACTCTACCTCAGGGGATGGTTCACGTAGGTTATCCTCTGAATTAGAGCCTGAAAAAAACCACAAAATTTAAAAGGTAATATTAAAAATAGGAAGGTTAATCCTTCAGGTCAGTCTCCAATGTATTCTAGCAGTGAAGAAGACTGATGTGATCAAGAGGCTTTTATAGAGGCAACACTGGAAGAGCAGCCATCTTCTAACCACTGCTGTGAACCACTGGGCAGGGATCCATGGGAGAAGGGACATCCAAACGTGGTCTGTCAAGCTGACGGCATTACAAGAGTGAGGAAACCCTGCACCTGACCAATTAAACTATCAAGCAGATAGAGTAGGGAGTGAAAATACTAGTGCTCTGTCTTTGTACTCGAACGCCAGCAGAAGCCGTTGTGTCACCCAGGCAGGAACTTCCACTAACAGCTGGTGTATCGAACGCACCTTTTGGTCTGCTCGGGAGCCTGGAGACAGGGGTGGAAGTGTGCGGGTGAAGAGCTGAGGTCGAGTAAGTCCTGGGACCCAGCTCCACACAGCATTGTTTTGCCACAGAGTCTGTTGAGATTTCAACATTATCATTGCTGCCTCCATGATGGGAATTCCTCTTTTGTTTTAGGTCCATTAGCACTGAGGGGCAGAGAAGTAAATAAATACAAGCCAATGAAAATAACATTAGGAGATTTGTATTTATCTGCTCACACAAACATGACAAGCAGGCACAAAGAAACTGCACAACAGAGGCACTAGTTTTGCAAGCTTTTCCATAAACAGTTCAGTATTGGACAGGAAATTTCTGTCACCAGTTTTTCAGTCATGTGTGCTCTCTGTAAAGTGTGGGAGTGACAAGGGCTGCTTAGTACCAGTGAGAGGGTTGGTATTATACATGCAACAATTACCATGAAAGGAGGAAGAAAAGCAGCAAGACATGAATATCGAAAAGATAAGTGAGGTGTGAAATTCCCATAACATTATTCCTTGCAGGTACATTTTATAGGCACTTACTTCAGTAATAAAACAGAGTAGAGAAAGAGTGACAGTAGTCACGCTCTGATTCAGAGAGAAATAATGCTGATTTGAAAATTATCTATCATAACCCACACACTAAGCTAATTGCTTTCAGGTTTAGATCTTTGCTGTGAGGCAAGAGCTCGGTCTCTACAAGGTTAAAACTCGGCTGCTCTCATGATGCTCTGGTGCAATGATTTTAAAGTAGAATTCCTGGGATCTTTGCATGAGAATAACAAAAACTATCTGCTAGAATATTATTTAGATTCAGAAAGCTCAAGATACCTTTCTTAGTGATGTGAATGTAATACCTTAAGGCACACATAAAATAGAACAAAAAGTAAAGAATTTACTATAGGAAAGACGCTTAATGAGATGCAAGACTCTAGTTTTATATATATTCCTATGGAGTGCTTGCCAATAGTTACTAAATGCTGAACACAGCAGAATGCAGTGATCAAAATAAACAAATTGCAGAGACAACGGACAGTCAGTTAGTTCAAAGCACAGAGCAGCAGTAAAGTTGCGTTAGAGAAATGGACCAAGTTACTGTCATTTTAGATGACTCCTGGAAGCTGACTTCAGAAACAACATTTTCTCCCACAATCTCTATAGGCCAGGGCTGGCACTTTCTCCCAGAACTGAAGTTAATGGCATGCCTGGAGGGGCAATTACTGGCTAAAGCTTGGCACGCAAATCTGTATTTCTAATTGACTTTGTCGATGCACTTAACACCTTCCACAGATGCCCGAATTATTAATTACCCTGGAGACAGATGTCCTCTGCAAAGCCCTAAAGGGGCAGCAGCCAGCTGCTGTGCCCGTGTCCCTGGCTGTGCCAAAAAGGGCCAATTCTCAGAGTGAGAAGGGAGACGAGATCTTTTGGCGTCTCTGCTGAGCTCCCCAGAGTGTATTGCCCGGGCTACACAGGGTTCTCTAATGTAGGGTGGGGACTGGACCCACACACTCATTTCAGAAACCCCCAGGTCATGACTACTGGGCAAGTAAGAATGTTGAGCAACGGATCCATGATGAAGGGTACTGCCAATGTTAAGAGAATGAGTCTACTTTCTTCTTCCAAAAAAATCTGTCAAAACTGAAGCAGCAGAAATTGAAACTTTAGCTCAGTTCAAGATGAATTTTCATAAGTGGAAGTGTAAAACCTTGCTGAACAGCAGGTTTGAATGCAAACGTCAAGACACTTTGAGAAGAATAATTTTCCCAGTAGCTTTCACTCCATATTCAAAGCTAGACTATTTAAAAACAGACAAAAATTTTAAAGGGTCTGCCATTTTTAGCACTTAGTGGCACAGAATATTGGAAAAATCTCCAAGATTTGAGACTGCTTATATATTAGATTCGTATTTTAGAAGGACTACAACACTGTAGAAAGCACAGCAACAGCAAATCAGTTCAACACTTTAACCGGACACGATGCATGTGAGCGACTGCAAGAAAATATTGAAGCACATAGCAACTTCACTTATGACATGCACCACAGCCAATATACATACGCAAACTGTATGCCATGAGGTCCCCTAAAAATGTGCTGCATTGAAGAAATGATCCACAGTGTGCGACAGTGATTCATCTTCTACAGGAAAACTTAGGTCCATGTTCACTAATGTGTGCTGCTTGTATTTAGAGTATTGCAAAGACATGCTGAGTGTTTTCTATCAAGGTCTGTGTTCTTTTAAGGCATGTGAGATTTTTATTTTTATTTTTTCAATATTTGTCAGAAATAAATGAAGATAAATGCTAAAGAGAAGGTGTTAGAAAATTCCCAATTCCGGGAAAGAAAGAGGTTCACTAGGAGAGGATGGGATGTCAGAAGAAGACCAGAACCGGAGCCGATTAGAGAGAGACTGATGATTCGATGGAGACTTAGGAGACTTTTCTTTATCCTTGATTTTGCTTCTCAAAAAGGCAATCTTTTTGCGCTGCACGGCTAAATTGTTATCACCCAGGTATCCCAAAAAGAAGAAGAAAAAAAAAAAGTAAAAAAACCCTTGTAAATAAAAATTACAGTATCTTAAAACAGATTAAAGACTACACAACCAGTAAAAACAAAAAAGGCTAAACAAAGACTAACATACATATTTGGAGGACTGATTAACGCATAGGTAATCTGACTCATATTAAGGCATACACATAAAATACAAGCAGGTCCATTAAGAAATTACTATTAGATGACACAAAACGTCTTTACTTAAAAAAGTAAAACCAAATAGGTGTGCATATTACTTGATGACAGTAAACTCGAATTTCCTAGATGTCCTGTAGGCTTTAAAACTGATGCCCATCATCTTAATATAAGTATATTTAATATAACATTAAGAAGACTGAAACCCCAAAGACTTTGTTATCTCTGGCACTCCATGAGGGCCTTATTCTGCAGAAACCCAAGCCCAAATTCCAAAGGCTTCAGCCAGCCAGACACTTGCATTAGTTTATAACAACACTTCTACCCTCCTCAGCTGCTCCCCTTCTGCTCCCCATATTCTGCAGTGGGAAGACAGGAATTATTATTTAAGGATTAATTCCAAAACTGCTTCTTGAAAAGTATTCTCAGAGAACAACTATCTACATATAGAAGCTGACAGAAGTGATCTCAATAGAACATGCAAAGCTTGGGATATATATTACAGAGTATTTATTACTTTTCAATTTTCAATAACTCGTAACAGCTGATTTATTGTATGAACTAACAGGAAAAGAAATCATTTCATCTTCCTTACGTTCTCCTTAGAGTGTGTAAAAAAATAATCTCATCGTTTTACATTAAGACATCCTTAGTTTGATTCAATCTCAAAAAACAGTCTCATTCTCCAAAATAATTAATTACAATAAATTAGCATTTTCTATGCTATTTCTTTTCCATGTGCGCCATCTCCTGGCAGTGGCTGTAAGACCAGGAACTACCCATTTGAAGACCAGAGGCTAATGAACCATATAGTATTGTGCGGTCCACCTTTACTGCTTTGTTGTGAAACCCCAGTAAATGAAGTATTTCCACCAACTTATTCAGTAATGTGCAACAGTCAGGCAAACCAAGAAACTACGTAAAAAAGCTGAAGGGAGAAGAGGTAGATAAATGGAACAAACCAAACTAAAAACAAAACTCCCACTGTTTAGTTTACTCAGTTTTTTTAGTTTAGGGGCTTTTTTTGCTTACTAAGCCTTCCAGTTTCCTAAAAAACAGGATATGAGACAATGTTATGGAGTATTACCATATCCTATACATTAAACCTTTTAAAAATATTTTTTAAATACTATTCAGCTCATTAATAGGCTGAGCATTCCTTACCTTTGTTTGAAGAACCTCCAGGGTTCTCTCTCTCTTCCATAGAGTTTGACCCTTGAGAGGTATTTTCCTGAGTGTCCTGATGTTTCAGTTTTTGGGAAGTAGATGGAGCGTTTACCGTGTCTGGGGATTCAGAATGCCATGGAGAGCTTTCCGCTGCTGGTTTCAACCGCTCTCTTGCAGTCTCCTTCTTTGGCTTGATTAGTTTGACTAAGGCTCTGGCTCCAATCCAGTGATTTTTCCTGATAAAACAGGTTTTGTGAATGAGATTCCTAAGGTGCTACAAGAAATACTCCCCAAAGAAGTTTACAGCTGTGCTAAAACCATCAAGTCATTCTACATTCTTACTGGGTTACTGTCATGAATTGGTTGGAAAGATAGAGCACATATTTCACAGAGCTTGAGATCCACTTCTCTCTCAGAGTCAAAATTATTTTACAGAAATATTTCTTCAGCATGCAAAATGTGAGACAGACAACTCTGCTAGAAATCTAAACTACACATATGGACTTCCTTAAGACATTTTAACAGTGTGAAAAGCTCTACTACAGGAACAGACTGAGAAGGAAAGAAATGAAAAACTGCTTTAAAGATTAATCCCTCTCTTTGCTAAAGCCATCAATCTGAATTATGTGTGGTTGAATAAGCTTGTCTTTTTTTTGTTCTTAATACAATTTTTTAAAGTCCCTTCTCTCTGATGGACTGCTTACTCCCTTTGAAAGAGCAACTCTTGAAGCTCCTACTGCTGCTCAGTCACCATACTGGGGGTCCCCCTCTCCCCTGCTAGGGCCAAGATCAGTCATCAGGTCAAAGTGGCTCTTCTCAAACTCATACTGTGTCAGACTTCAGGATTGAGGTACTGTGTGCCCTGTGTTAACACAACCTGCTGTTCCAGGGAATTGCTCACAGAGTGAGAGTGAGAAGTGGAGATGACACTGTATTTCAGATTAAATTTCTGTTATCTCCAGTTATGGAGAGCTCTCTCTCACACTCACAAATCTGTAAAACAACAGCAGAACTGAAAACAAATGGAACTTACTTTTTTGGAGTAGGATCATAAAACTTGTACTGATCCATTATCTTCTCTTCAAGTTTTTCCTTGTGTCTCCTTAAGGCATTCAATTTATCACTGTGAGAGGAAAAAGCACATTCTGAACCATGAAATAAAGCAAAATCAAAACAATGAAGATTTCAAAAGCCACCAAGAGAAGAAAGAGAAAGGAATCTCCTTCTATCATGTAGAATTAGAATCCTTCCAGAAGCCTATCAAACTCATTCACTGTTTAGCAAGGGCACATGCAAAAGCCTACAGAAGTTGCTGATGGGCAACTGTTGTGTGTAAGCACGAAAGGTTAAAGAACAACAGTAGATTGGTGCTAGATTACTCACTAATAACTCAGGCAGAGTTTGTTTGGTAGATATTAAAATTAATCTTATTTTGTTTTTTGAAAATTCATCTGCTGATTGTCCAGTCTTATTCACAGGTCACCAATAATTACTTGAGGGTTAAGATTCTGAACTTGTCTACACAGTAACTGGGTATTTTATTTCTGTTCTGCTTACTCTGTTGCAACTAGAAAAATAAGCCATGTTTGATCTTTTTAAGACTACTGTGGTCTCCCGTGAGCAGTGTCAAAGCACTTTCAGCAGTGCTATGTAATCCTATTATTTTTTTACTCATTATTTTAAGTTGCACAGTAGATATTAGAAAATCTTTTTTCATTCAAGTAGTAGGTCTAAAGTACCTCCATCACAGAACTCTCAGATACATGGATATACATGCCTAGAGTACCTTTGAACTCCATTCAGACAACTTCAGCAAACAATTTCTAACATTTCAACCATATAATCCAATACTGAAATAAAACTCAGTTAGTAACTCCCAGATCGTCCTGAGGAGCTCAGACTAAAACTCTTGGGGATTAAGAACACTTTTCTTCCTTCTTTCATACTTGTACGAGAAATTCGCTGCAGTGAGAACAGGGTTCTTTGTAAATGTACACTATGTTTAAACAAGAGCATCTCACCTAAGCTCGTGAGCCTACACATGGGGGATGCGACAATGTATGTTGATACTTGCATCCTTACAAACAACATCAAAAGAAGCATTATTTTACAACATAAATTACTAGAACTAGAGGAGTATGAATATTTGATGTTCTTTATGAACCTAAACATAAAATGACTCTCATATGATTATTTTTGTTGCAAGTCAGCTATTTTCTAACCTCTTCAGTAATCTCTGAGAAGAATGACTGAGTTTAGCATTCTATATTTTATAACTAAGATTTCCACATGGGTTTATCTATATTATTTGAAAAGAGCTGTTTGTCCAGGTGTCTCCTGAACATCCCTTTCTGCTAAGGCAACAAGAAGAAACTTCATAGCTTCTCCCCATTACATACATCTTTTCCTAAACATCACCTTTTCCTAGCCAGATCTCAAGTAGACCTATCACTTCTTTGCCTGTCCTTTTCCTCCTGATAGATAATTTGTATTTTGTTTGTCCAGATGAGTTTTTTAGGTTTCACAATTCAAATCTCTAATTTCTTACATGTACTGTTTCTGTTCTTCATGATACTGCTCCTTGTTCTCCATGTTCTGCTCCAGTAACATCTGATTCTGCTGGCTCAGCATTTGAATCTGACTCAAGAGATGATGGTTTTCTTCTTCCAGATTTCCTTTTAGACGGGACAGCAGCTATTAAACAAGACAGATTAATCTCTCCTGCATCTGGCTTCCCTAGAAGCGCACCGTAATCAAGCTAACACAACAGCACAGAGAACTAGAATACGGACTGATAAACTTCAAAGTGTATGGTGGTGTTATTATGATCACATAGCTTGATCTCCTATATACAGTGTACTGAAAACTTCATACAATGAATGAATGTTAGGTTTCCAACAGGAACCCAGCAGCCATACCTACCTATAGCTACTCACCTCACAGTGGTTATCCAGTTTGGTCAGGGAGATATCCATGGACTGGTGCTGTTCTTTCAGCTCGTCATAGCGAGCCTGCCAACGATTCAGCTCCAGCTGAGAGTTGTTCAAGGAAGTTTTCAGCTCTTTAGTGTGTGAATGCAGCCCTTCATACTCTGCCTTTAGTTGGCTGTGCAAGAAATTCACCCTAAACATGAAGAAGTCAGCAGGCTTATGAGAGACACTTCATAGGAAGTACCTCACATTCAAAGACCACACCATCAGCGTGCAGCTGTCACTAAAATCAAACATTAAAAGACTAACTCCTAAAGACATTTTTATTCTAAACATATGCTCAATGCGTAAAAAAACTCACCACAAATTTCTGAGGCACAATGTATTTAAGAGCATTTGGATATAAAGACAACTCTATTCAGCACAAATAAATAACACTGACAGTTTTTCTTTCCTAATGCATGAAATGTGAGCATTAAAGTGTCCTGTGAAACACTGCAGTGTTTTTAGATGATACTGTGGCATTCTTTTATGGCTTTCGGTAAATCTAAAAATGCCTACAAATCACAAAGGCATAAACCTAAATAAACGGATAATAAAAAGGATTAAGTTCTGTATCTGCTGACAGATCAGCTAAGGCTTGCTCTCTGCCAGCATTGCAATCAACATTTTGCAACACCTTCCTTTGTCCTTAGAGAAACTGCAATGAGAAGAGCAAGCTTGAGGAAACCTCCTCTGCAGAGCTCTGTAGCGTTCTAAAGTACATTACAACTGGGACAGCATATTAAACTTTTGTGACCGAACTTAACATGTGACTTTTAAATACGATTCAGTCTGACATTGCTTTAACTTGTTATGACCTTGGCCCCTTACTTGTACCAAACTCTTTCTCAAAATGTCTTTGTAGTATGAACACTGGCACTGAACCGGTTATGGAGTGAGCCCCAGTAGGGATACCAGGGGTAGGGTGGAAGAGCCTTGCTGTTGCGTTATGTAAAGTTCAGATGTCAGCTCACTGAAGGGCTTTTTACATGTTACCCAGTGAACATATGAACCACTGCACCCACATTGATTAACAAGAATCAAGTCTCTTGGCAACTAATGGCAACTTTCTCTGTGCAGCAGGAAACAAACAGCAATGGTAACTCTTAGAACTAAAACATACTGTGTAAAAACATAACATAGTTCTCCTTAAGGAGAAAAAAAATGGATAGGAACCATTTCACACAACTTTAGACATTACTGGGGTTTTGGGTATTTGTAGTTCCCCTTAAGACAAACACTTGGTAACAACTCATTATAGAAACACTTGGTGAACTGAACGACACATGGATGCTTTTTTCGAATAAGCAAAAGTCGCAGGATCAGATCGTGTCTGAAGCACGAAGTAGCAGTATTTGTTGACAGTACCCACGAAGTTGATAATCTCAAGTTAAAAAAAATTATCAAATTAATATGATAGAAATTGAGAAAAATTAGCAGACATATTAATGAAGGCATTCTGGAGACACAGGTAACACAACACAGCAAAATAACTGCGCGCTTTGCATAACTGACCTGTTAAAGATATATACAAGAATTTAGCAAGGGAACCATACCTGTCCAGTTCCTCCCTCAGCTTCTGATTTTCCCCAGTTGTTATGGCATTTGATCTTCTCTCTTGCTGCAGAGCCTCTCTCTCAGTTTTTAAAACTATTTCTAACTCTTCCAGCTCTGCCTTGTGTTTCATTAAACTATTGTATCTGCAAAAAGAGCAGGAGCATACTGTCAGCTTTCATTTAAACATCTTTTCTTCCTCCAGTTAAAGATTTTTAATACGTAATACCACAACAGCCAGAAAGATGCTGCGTGTTCAGTTTTTTCCCTGCCTGCTTAGTTTCACACACATTTGTATGGTTAAACACCTACCTAGAATTCCACACTACGTGTGGAAATTCAGCTTAGTCTATAAGTCAACAGTGAGGCTTTTAGGGAAAAAAAAATGCACTTCTAAAGCAAACTGGAATGCAACTGCCAGAACCTTATTTCAATTTCAGGTTCTGAGCATTCAGTAAAAAGTGTGTGAGTCTCCAGGATGAGTGAAAACTGCACCATTAAACTGGAATCCCATTCACAAATAACTGTCAATGACAGGTTTAAAAAAAATGGCAAAAAAGCAACAAGAAAGCACCGGAAAGAGCAACAATTTATTCAGTAACAACCTAATAATGCATATGAGGTTATACACATAGGTATCCTGCAGAGAAAATAAACTCCTGCATATTGCAGACAGATGAGGAGGCTAGGATCAGTGAGCTGACAGCAAAACATCTCTAAACGGGAGCTGACCCACCTGCTTGAGGGGCTCTACTTGCTCACGCCTGAGAAACCCAAGAGCAACAACAGCGTTCACATAAGGCTTCCACTGTTACTTGATTTATACTCCTTCTGCATAAATCATTCAGGGCAAGGAGACAGGCAGAGGCAGAGAGCAGGTAACATCACCTATGTCTTTAATTTCGATCTCTGGAATGCTAAAACAACAGAGGTGGGGAACTACTCCCCTGATTGGCACAGGCACTGATTAGGCAGGCTCAGCCTTCCTGAGCTGCTACACCACCTGCATTCCGAAAACACCGCAAACAACGAGGTGGTTTAAGGCCACACTGCAAACCAGCAAGCTGTCCTCAGATTATTTTTCTTCCCTCTAGTGGCCTCTGTCAGGGTCTGTGCCCATACACACACACCAGCAGAAGCCATTGGGTACACTGTCAGTGTGTGTCAACTGTGCATGTCAAAAGTCATCAGCACGCTTTTCTGTGACCATGATAAAAGTATTGCTCCGAAATATCCCTGGCAGATCCACCTGTGTCAGTCACGGAGAAACACCCTTCCATGCAATTTTAAAACAGCAACTAGGTGGAAGACGCAGCACTGCTTTAAAAAGCTAGAGAGAACAAGCATCATCTGTCTGCAACTCTCATCCCAGCAGAGATGAATGCAGAGCAGTTACTCTGCAGTCATGAAAACTTCAAAACAAAAACCAAAGCAGTAGACAGCACCAAATAACGTTGACTCCTGCCAACTTGTTTTTCTTTCAGGCCACCATTCCCTTCATCCCAGGGTCAAATTACAGCCTGCCCCAAATTCCAGTCCACTGAAGTGCCACACAGAAAAGTACCTGTCTCCCAGACAAAAGCTGCTTTTTGCTATTCATTCCCAGTAACAGCAGTAGAGTTTAATTAACCTTATTTATTTGGTTTTTTCCTCCATTCAGCTCCAGGACATTTCAAATTCAATGTCCGTACAACAAATGGAAGAACCTGAAAGCAGAGGAAGGTTTCACATCCAGCTCCAAGAAGGATTAAAGATAGATTGCATGCCAATCCAGAGTCTGAGAAGACAAACTCCACAGTCAGTCCCTTGGCAGAGATTGCCACGGCTGCTTCTGCAGAAACTGTGTTGTGAATTCTTTTGCCATTTCTGTATGATAGGGCTACTCTGTTCATTTTTATCTGAGCTTTCTATTTTTAAAGAGGGCTACTTACAGGGAAACAAGTATACTGGGTCCAGTTTTACCAGCTTGGCCCAGATCCACATGTTGCCTTTCAGCATGAGAACCCCTGAGGTAGACCACAGCTGCTCCTCTAGATATTAGGCAAAAGGTAAGAAAGAAGAGACTGTCTGCAAAACCACAAATGAACCTGCATCTCCAGAGCCCTAATGAAATCCCTAGGCAAAATTTCTTGTAATCCAGCTTCAGTATGGATTTTACCATTTGAGCAGGAATTGTGCAACCTGTCAAGCTCTAGCACCAGGGTCAAGTTTACTCACCCTGTGGGCTATTTAACACTCATGTTCACTTCACTTCTTCAGGCATTTGGACAGAGGTTTTCTTATACGTGCAAATAAAATCCTTTTTTTTTGTTCTGATGCAATTAATTCCTGAGATTGAACCATCATATTCCTCTTTACACCTTTTGGCTTTTGTTAGGAGAAATGCTTTGCATGGGAATTTGTGACTGAGAGAACTTGAAAAATCCTCAGCTATGATAAAAACCATATGGCAAAAGGAACTCAGAAAAACAATTACCAGTCAGCACGAGTAACATAATAATACAAGTCCCTGCAACGTGTAACCCTCCACAACAGGGGTTCTGTTTTTCCAGTGTCTCTGCAGGATTAGACTTCTCCAGAGTAAGCCACAAAGAAATGCTCAAAGATCTGTTAATCTATTGTAGTTACTAAGTTATTACCTCCCCTAAGCAATGTGCAATATCTAAAGCAATCTTAAAAATGCAGCAAAAGGATCCAGCCTTTGTGTGTTCAGTGCAACAGTTGGCTAAATACCACAAAGTCAAGAAACTGCTATTTAATTGTGCAAACGATCCTAATATACCAATTCTCCTTTTCTTGCTACATCAAACTCACATGTCTGTGGTTTGCTGGGCTATGACAGACCATGTCACTGCAGTTACACAGAACCCATTACCAAATGCCCACAGTAGCACTAATATCGTGCACACAGAGCCGAGGGAGGTTTAATGAAGTTTGTTCAGGTGCAGAAAATATTCTGTGGTTAGAAAGAATCAAAGCAAACTATACAAACCTTGGGAGCCTTGGCTGTACATGATGTTGCAGCTGAAGTTCCTGTGCATTTTTCTAGACAAGCTGCAGTCATAGGTTTGCGCAGGAGTGCAATCCTGCCTTAAGCACCAGAACTATGATTACAGTGCTGTCACCAACTGAGAAAAAACAATTAACTTGGAGTTGGGACAAGCAAAACTTGTTTCTTAGACACTGCACAAGCAAACTCGTTGGCTGCACTGAGTTGCTCTGGGAAAATTTAGCAGGTGGTGCATTCTAGCTTAAGTTGAAAGTGACATTTCATCTTAGCAGTTAAAGCCCTCAGAGTGGCTGAAGAGAAGTTTTCTTACTGCTCTTTTTCTAACTTTCTCCCCTCTGGTCCCTCAGCCAGCTGCACTCCACATACCACAAGGTGGAAGGGAAACAAAACACACAGAAAAGCAGCTTGTCTCTCTTTTCTGACAGCCAAATGGAGACACGAGCAGTCCTTGAAAAAATCATCTTGATAAGTACCTCTTGAGACTGATCTGCTGAGAAGGACACTGCACTCCTAAAACTGCCAAAATCAACCTGCCTTGAGTATAGAAAAGGCCACCATCTGCTCCCCTTCAACACCTCTCATTGGCAGCCACATCTCAGTAACACACAGTCCAAACTGTTAATGTTTACAATGGTGATCGTAGCACTTATCAGTAGAGTTAACCTACTTTTAGAAAACCACATTTTTCTTTAGGCTAGAACTGTTTTAATAACTGGTACTCATCAAGAAAAGAAAGAACCCAGCAAACTGCCTCAGCACACTGCAGTGTGATAATCTCAAGCAAAGACTAAATCAATGGGAACCATTAATCAGTCTGAGAGAGACTTGGTAAGCAGGAACAGTGTCTGTGTAATCACTTACAGCTCATTTAGTTGACAGTCAAGCAGCTGTCCTGCCACACAGCCCTAGTGGATATTTTAATCACAAAAGGTTTAGTTCTCTACTTCCATCAAAATCTACTGCACACAGTATTGCCAGCTCCTTGGTCTTTGGGAAGAAAGTTAGCACCAGTTTTTAGTCCACCCTCAAAGATCACCACTGAATTGCTCTGAACCCAGCTCACGGTCTCTTGCACAAGAAATGAACCTCAATACAGTAGACTCGGAAGATATTTTGAGAAAAATCACTGAATTGTACAAGAGAAGTTTTTAGGAGCAGGCAGAGTGACATTTATGTAGTAGTATATTATATATATTGTTTGATCCACGCACAATTGTCAGACAACAGTGACGAGAGACTAAACAAAAAACAGATTACTCTGATTTCACAATTCAATGTAAGGGTCTGAAGCAAAAGTCTTAGAAAAATAACTAACACATCACTATCTCATAGCTAGCTCAATATGGAGGAGAGAGCCTCCTTTGTCACGAGGTTGATGTCACATACAATCTTCACTGATTTTCTCAAGATACATACCACTCACACACAGGCAATTACCTAGGTGACTTGCAGACCTTACTGTACGACTAGAAAAGATGCCCCAAAGCATAACTGGGAGGTTCTTTCTAAGGCTGTATGTTATTACAGCACAGATGCTTAAATGTAGTAATGACATTTAAGCTACTTCTGACAAAGCATCCCCAAGACTCAAGTCCATGTTTATTAAATATTACCACAGTCATCTGTGGTCTGCCACCTTTAGCTTTGTGAATATTTTCATCTAATCTCCTAACGATAGCAAGAATGAGAAGACATCTTTTCAGGGGAACATCTTAGTAGTTTCTATTTGTAATTGGAGACCAGCATTTTAGGTTAGAATTGCAACAAGCACATTCTGGCTAGGCTACATCCCTGAGCAGTGAGCGTACCTCTCACCCAGACCTTTGTGCTCCAGATCCAGGTTTTTGTGTAACGTTTTCAGGCAGCTGTGCTGGTTTATTAGCATTTCATATTCTGCAGACTGCCGTTCATGCAGTGAAGCAAGGTGTTCATGGTCCTGAAGCAATGATTCATACTCAGCTTTCAGCTGTTCCTTCTGTTTCAGTAGATTTTCATTCTCATTTTCCTTGGCTGTCTGCTGATTTTGGAGTAAAGCATTCTGGGCCATCAGTGAAGCACTCTGGGAGTTGAGCGTCGAATTTTCTACCTAAAGTTTCTCAAATAAAATGCAAGCATTAGTTATTTCACACCTACCGGTACATACGACAAACATGCAGCGGCAGCTTTTATCTCCATAATCAAGAATGCATCCATCGCTTTGCAGACTGAAGACACATGTAGAAAATTTGGCGTCATTTTGGTATTATTGCTAGTAGTATGCACCATATAAAGCCATGCTATCAGCAGCATGAAAAGTATCAGGATAACCTCCAAACCGGAAAACCAATCTTACTAGCAGAAACAGTAAAACTCCTACTAGTTTTACGACTAGTAGTAGTAAAGCCTGACAGAGTGAGCCTGAAGACCAAGATGAGCTGGAACTTGCAACTCAACTGCAACTCTGACAATCACGCAAAGTCAAAAGTTACCCCATGTTTGTGTACAAGAAATGAAAACTTAAGTTCACTCAAACTCAACAAAATTAACTGCACCACTGTGTATGGGAGCAGTACTGACAAGTCTGATTTCAGTCAATAGGTACTGCATTCATTTCATATGTTGCTTATATACTTTGGTTGCAGGTAAGAAATAAATAGAGAGAACAAAAAAAATAATCTGTGAACACGCAAGATGAAAAGCTTGAAAATAGAAATTCGCATTCAAAAAAAAATCAGAGCTAATTCAATGTTGTTCTTTAAAACTGTTCTCTTTCTCAAGCTAATTTTATTATTTCAAAATTAATGTTTAACAGTGTCTGTTTTCCACTGGCAATTTTCACATTTTGTCTGAAAGTATGAAAATTGTGATTAGAACTCATTGCTACAATGCCTCTTGGGAGATGACTTGTGTCTTCTTCCCAAGGTCTTTCGCAAGCATATCAATAACAGAAGAAAGCGCAGCTTCTAGAACAACATACCTGGAGTTTGCTGTATTGATGTGAAACATTTCTGTTTAATTAACTACATTCCTAAAGAAGATAGCTACCACACATTAGCTGCAGAGCCAGTTTTCCTCCTAGCTTGGAGAAATTCAGACCTCAAACTAAGCTCCACCTTACGGACTTCATCTTTACCTCACTCCACCAGCCTGCCAATACAAACATTTTCTTATTAGCTGTCACCTTTCTCCACACTACTATAATCAAATCCAGTCTTCTGGCACAGAGTTACAACATTGTCCTGACCTGGAGTTTGGCAGTCTGTGTCTGCAAGGAAGTGTTGTGCTCCTGAAGAAATACGTTTTGCTTCTGTAGTGTCAGGATCTGATTGTTGAAGGAGACATTCTGTGTTTCCAAATGCTTCAGCTGCTCTTTAAGCAGCTGCTTCTCAGTATGCAGTGCTGCATTCTGAAAGAGAGATGGCACTGAAGGAGTGACAGGAAGAAATGAAACAGCTGTCTTGATTATTTGGAGTCCTATCAAAGATGAAAACCAATTTGTGATGATAATTCTGCAACAAATGTGCAAAAGCAAACTCTCTCCAGCATTAAATGAAGGTAGCAGAGATGTTATACACAAGATTAATCCCTGAAATGATGTTACACAAGACATGCATAGCATTAAAGTCCTGTGCAGTCTGAAGAGATACCAGAGGAATTTGGTAGACTTCTGTGCCGCAGAGATCCCACCAGATTCCTATGATATCAAAAATCCAGTTTCCAGCAACCCATTCACGATTACAAGGGAAGTCTGAGTGATAACAAGAAATAGGAGAAGGCTTACATTCCTTTCCAGTTCAATTGCCCTGTCCTTCAGTTTCAGCAGCTCCATGGTAGCTTCTCGGTGCCCTGTTTCCAAATTCTCATTCATATGGTGGTTGGGAATGAGTTTCTCTGCAGAATATCTCAGTGACTTTTCAGCAAACTGCCCATCCTGCTGAGCCTGCTTAAGTGCATCAAAGTCCTTCTTTACCTGCAAAGCCAAAAAGCAGCAACCTTCAACACTGATTTAACAGTGGGATTTTATATTTATGTTCCTCTCTTGCACTGAAGGGACCTTAAGAGATTCACCATCATTACTATCACTTCACAGATGGGGAAGCTGAGACACAAGTAGAGGAATCCGTGTCTCTTGGCCTCCAGTCAGGTGCTGTTGCCTCAAGCTCACTGTCATCTAACAAACATACTGCTCTTAGGTGGGATGTTTCAACTTTAGCCTTCCTCAGCCTAAGTTTTCATTAAGCAAGGCAGAAAAACAAGACTACGACAATGAAAAAGCCTTGGGAAAAGAGTGATCTGCAAATAGTCATTATGCAAAAAACAACAATTCCTGTGTTGTTCCCAGTCCAACAATTTTTCTGAAATTGGTATCATTATATATAGAAATGGACAAGAGAAAGCAATCCAGTCAAAAAGGCTTTTGGGAAGTGTGTGTATGGAAGGAGGTGCTGTCAGGGAAGCAGATACAACGCGCACTTGCTGTGGTAAGAAGGAAAAAAAACCAAAAAGCATGGGATTGTGCAGAACCACAACACGAACAATTAATATTCAGATAACTTCTTACCATATTTAGTTCATTCTGTAACTGCTGGTTCAAGTTCAAAGAGTCTTTCACTTGAGCTTCCAGCACTGCAATCTTTTCCTCTTTCACAGCTAGTGTTGTTTTCAGTGCCGATTCAGTTTTGCTTTCCAGAATCTTGTATTTTCTGAAAGACATGAAAATAGAGTTCCAGTGCCTGCCACTAGGATGTGAGCCATCATCTATATAGGAGACTTCACCTTTGCCCGTTCCAAATCTCACCACATGCTACATTACATGTGTTTACCCCTTCAGGAAAAATCACAGAATCACAGAATGTCAGGGGTTGGAAGGGACCTCAAAAGATCATCTAGTTCAGACCCCTTGTCAGAGCAGGATCACCTACAGTAGGTCACACAGGAACGTGTCCAGGTGGGCTTTGAATGTCTCCAGAGAAGGAGACTCCACAACCTCCCTGGGCAGCCTGTGCCAGGGCTCTGTCACCCTCACAGTGAAAAAGCTTTTCCTAATGTTTTTGTGGAACCTCCTATGCTCCAGCTTGTACCCATTGCCCCTTGTCCTGTCATTGGACATCACTGAAAAGAGCCTGGCTCCGTCCTCCTGACACTCCCTCTTGATGTATTTATAAACATTTATGAGATCACCCCTCAAGTCTCCTCTTCTCCAAGCTAAAGAGACCCAGCTGCTTCAGCCTCTCCTCATAAGGGAGATGTTCCACTCCCTTCATCATCCCTGTGGCTGTGCTGGACTCTCTCAAGCATTTCCCTGTCTCTCTTGAGCTGAGGGGCCCAGAACTGGACACAATATTCCAGATGTGGCCTCACCAGAGCAGAGTAGAGGGGGAAATATTTCCTCTACTGCCACAGATTGCTGCTGATACATTATAGCTGCGCACTCTGCTTTGGGAAAATTCCATCAATTTTAATAGAAGCAACGTCAGTATGGTTCTACAGAAATATCTTAGAGTTACACAAAATAAGTTTTTCTCTTTTTCCCCTAATTACGCTGCAGATGTTTCTTCTCATGGCTCTTTTGTACACTGTTGACAAAGAGAAAAATCTGCAGTAGATTCCAAGGGCTCCTATGAGATGGGTACATTTCCCTAATCAGGTTTTACCAAGAGGCCTACACACACATAGACTGTTAGTGTTTCGTTGTTCATTACTATACAAATTTCTAAGGCAACATCTATGTTTATATTAACTGATGACTGGATCACCAGCTACATGGAGTAATTACAGACATTGCTTAATAGACACTATTCTTACTTGTAAAGAGAATATCAGGAGGAACACACGCTGAGATAGCTACTCAGCTACTCTAGTAGGGCGTGTAGTAACATTGCTTTGCATGGAGGGAGAAAATGGCATTTCTTCTTTCCATCCAAGAAAAACTTGTGCAAATTTTGCAGGGTACTGCCAAGCTTGCTACAGGAAAATATGCTTTATGTCCAAAATTGGCAAGAGTAATTTGAGTGAGACTAATGAGAACCAAAAAAAAAAAAGAAAAAGTCTTGAGTTAGGCTGAGGAATAGCCTGCATAGTCAAAAGAATGTTCATTTTCCTTACGTGTCGTCATTGCCGTTGTCATCCTGTAGCAGCAGCTCTTTGTTCAATCCTATCTTCTCCAGTTCCTGGCTCAGTTTGTCCAGGTCACTGGACAACTGTTGACTCTTCAGCTTCTCCAGAACCAAATCCTGTAACAGCACTAGCATGATTAGTTGCTGTGCAAAGGGTACTGACTTTTTTAAAGTACTGAAGAAGTCATGGGATAAAATCCTAGTTCCAAGAAGGTCAGCTAAAATTCTTCATAAGTGACAGCTGAGTGCAGAACTAAACTGACTGCTTTTATTTATAGTTTACTTGGAATAAATCTTAAGAATGCTTCTTTTGGCCTTTGTCTCCCTCACTGTACCAAATTACTTCTGCCAACACTGGCAGCCTGCCCGCCTGCTAAGACAGGATGGGTGCGGGCCAGGAGATGTCCTGCCCTGGGCCACAGAAGGGATGCGAGCAGGTCAGGGGACCAGCAGAGGGAGTTCCCACCTCTCCGCCAGGACAAAAAGCCACACTGGCACACACACAGGAGTGATAGGGCTTCAGGATGAAAGCTTCTCAAGGTTAGGATGTTATTACCGAGGGACTTTGTAACAGAACTTTTTCACTATTGACTCAGTTTCTGAGATGTAGCAAATTACTGTCAAAATGTAAAAAGCATGATTACACTGGCATATGAGAGACAGGACAACTCTGGGGACTAGTGAGCTCGGTCACTTATTCTGGTATAGACTGGCCCATTCTGGTTTCATTTAGGTTTCTGTGGAAGAAACTTAAGCAGATCTAGACAAGGAAGTCATACGAGGGGGAGATTTGGTGGAGTTGTACCAGAAGGTATATTGGGTCAATGCCTTGAGTGGTTTGTGTGGAAACGGCCTGAGAAGACGTAATACCAGTCTTCATGTTTAAGGACAAATAATATTTTCAGTACATAGCCAAGTTCAAAAGATACCTACCATTCAAAATTCTCTGAAATATAAATGTACCACAGAGAACTACATTGCACATGTTTCTGCTCAAAAGTTTTCTTAAAAAAGACATGAAGAAAGAAGTAAGTTACTGAAGCACTTCAACAAGCTAAAAAAAGAACCTGGATATCAAACAAAAGAGGAGTAATTATTTTTTTCTAAAAAACCCACTTCGTTAAACCTAAACTGTGAGTATTCAATAGTCCTCTGATACTACAAATTTAGCTACATAGCCATTCACATGGCAAAAGAAAAAAAAGATAAGGGCAAGACCATTGCCAGTCCATGATCTATAAGCAGGTCCCTTCAACATCCATGAACTCCTGTAGCATCTACAGGAAGTAACTAAGAAAAAGAGCTTCTGTATGGGTCTACAGCACTGGAAATTTGCAGAAGTCTGAGAAGTGAAAGATTAAAAATGAGCCTTCTCAGAAACGCTACTATTTACATTATTTTTAGGAAAGTTGGATAGAAACATAAGCTGGGACTATCTCAAGTGTTTTTGATACAGTTTCCTCCTCAAAATTACATTAATACTTGAAAAACTAAAATTAAATCTTCAAGTAAGCAATTGCTTACCACATCAGTCTTGCTAGACTTACTTATTTCACTGAGCTACTGCAGCATTGACCGTTTTCCTTTGAAAGCTCTTTCACAGGAAATCCTGTTTCTGGCAGGACAACAGTAGCTGGAGCAGGCAATGAGAGCAAGCTGCCATAACCTCAATCTGCTAATAGGCCACTTGCAAGAGTGTCAGGTTCTGGTACATACATCATTATTCTGCCATCGTCCTCACTGTATCTCTGAAAGATCACTACTAGGAAAAATGTGATTACCGCATTCTGCCGGGGAGAGGGGTGCTGGAAGTGATTGCTGCTGCGTAACAAGAGCTGCTTAGCACGCTCTCACTTGGCAGGGAAGCTTTTGGGGAAAAATGCTGTAGGTAGTTGTAAAGCTAAAATTTGGTGCAGCTGTTATTGAAAGGGTCAGATGGTCATCTGGGATGGTTCTTGCCTCAGCTGCATCTGTTTTAGAACGGGGATGTTAAACGTGTCCTCAACAAGTGCTCTGATATTCAGGTTTAAGAGCCAATCTCTCCTGATGTAGGTCTCATGTTAGCAACCAATTTTTTGGTCACAGGGTTAGAGAAAGTATCAAAGCTTTTGATATTTGACGGTTTACAGCTACCACGTGGGTGCTGCACTAAAACCCTCTTCTGCATGAAAAAAGATGTCATTTGGTGACACTGGGTTTGTGGGCACAAAGTGGTACACTGCAGTTTATGCCGGATGCCACCTTCCAAGGCAACACTACGCAGTGATGGCTTTAAGGCTGTAAAGACTTCCTAGATGTCACCTTCCAAGGCAACACTACACAGTGATGGCTTTAAGGCTGTAAAGACTTCCTAGCTCATGTATTAAATAGTCATGGGACAGATGTCTCCCTCCGGTACTTCACAGAGCTGGAATAAAAAATAGCATTGTATTGAAACCAATGCTATTATTTTACTTACCTCTCTCAATGTAGCTAGTGTTCTTTTATCAATTGTAACTTGCTTTATGAGATCTTTATTGTCCTTTTCAAATTCTTTCAGCTTATTAGATGAATCCCTGAATCGAGCAATTTCCTTTTCTAGTGTCTTGTTTTCTTTCTCAACAACTGCCAACTTTACTGTACTATCATCCAAAATAGCATCTTTCAGCTCCACTTGCTGCCAAAGTCGTTTCGTTTCTTTCTCTAGCATTTTTTTGTCTTTCTCCAGCTGAGACATTTCTTGTTCTAGGGTTGTGTTCTCCTTTTCTAACCTCTCTAGCCGTTTGGCAGAAATCTTTAGCTCCTCGAGGTTTCTCTGGAGGACCTGATTTTCATTCTCCATTCCTTGTATCTCCTTTTCTAACTCCTGGATCTTTTTGCTGCTGTTCTCCACGATTTGCTGAAGTCTCTGGTTTTCAGAGTTGACACTCTGATAGCTTAGCTCCAGCCGCTCTGATTTCTTGCTCATCGCTTTTAACATTTCCACATTTTTTCTTAAGTCCTCTTTCTCCCTCTCCAAATCTTTGTTTTCTGCTTCTATCTGTGCCATTTTTGTGCTGGTAAATCTCATGGTCTCCACCACTCTCCTAAGCTCCAGATTTTCTTCATCCAATTGCTTGTTGTTCCTTTCCAGGTCTCCAAGCCGGATGGAAATATTCTGCAATGTGTCCAGGGATTTTCTTAGCTTCCTATTTTCCACTTCCAGATCTCCATTCTCCTGCTCAAGAACTTCTACTTTTTCTGTCACTATTTTCATTGCTGCTGCCTTCTTTGTGAGCTGTTCGTTCTCCCTCTCCAGCCGATGGAGCTCTTTTTCCATTTCTTCCACTCTTTCCACTTTTTCTTTAACCTGGTCAAAATCTTTCTGCAATTGTTTCTTCTCAAATTCCAGCTTGCTTAGTTTGCTACTCGTCTCTGTAACTGTTTCGTGAAGGATCTTGTTCTCTTTTTCGATATCTTTTACTCTTGCCTCGCTGCTCACTTGAGATCTTTGTCTCAGGGATAAGACCACTTGATTGAGGTGATCATTTTCTTGTTTAAGGTCCTTTATCTACACAAACAATAAAAAAGTCATGCAAATATTACTCCTCTACCTTACAAAGTGCAGTATAAATTACATCTTGAAGCAGACAGATGATTGTTATGAAAATCACCTTCATTTAATCCAAGACAAATTTCTCAACATTTTTCCCTCACTAAAACTAACAACTCAAACCAGTGAAAAAAAGTGTTAACTCCAATAATCCCTGATTCTAAGAAATTAAAATAGTGCTATATTCCTGCTACTAGTTAAGAAGGTCAAGGCAGAGGGATAAAGTAGACCAGGGACCTTCAGAGAACACACTGGAAAAGATGCTTTGATAGGAATCATTCTTAATACAGGTTATCTTTCTGTACAAGTTTACATTCATCTTTGGAATGTGAAGACATATTATCTCTGACAAGCTGTCAGAAGCCCCAAAAATCTTTGAAAATGTATAGCAGTTATGCATCTCATTAAGGACACATGTTCTGTAAGAACAGTACACACTTGCCCCACTGGTCAAATTTCAGCTGAAGCAATTGTGATTTCGGCTGCGATTTGCATTTGATTCTCATCTACACAACATCCACAAAAATCATAAAGGACTTGGACGTGAAAAAATCAGAAGCTGCCCTTTTCTGGCAATTGAGGACACTTCTGGTTTTACTTCCTGCCTTACCTGTGAAGCGCTCATTAATCTTTACCCCAAAGAATCTCTATGTGTTCTAACTAAAATGTACGACTCTGGTGGTAAAGTGCAATTTCCCAGGTAGATGTCTGGGTAAGAATCTTTCAAGATACAAAGCACCACACAACTAAAACAATTTGTTATTTAATCTTCAACCCACAAAACTTGGGAGTAAATACAGGCTGAAAGTATACAGACCAGTCTCCAATGATCTGTGTCTGTATTTTCTTCACTAGTCAAATTAATACAGACCACATCCGTATGAAACTGTAATAGGATAGTTTCGAGGCATTGCACATGAACTGCAGCACAGTAGTAAAAGATGAAGGGTATTTCAAATATCAATCCTGAAGAAATAAATGCCTTCTCAGCACCATTTTTAAACAGAGTAAAAAAAGTTTGGGTAGCTTAAAAAAAAAACAACAAACCAAGCCAATCAGTACACACAGTTGACAGAAGACCAATCTCCTGCATACCCTAAAACCAGTTGGTGCTCCATTCAGGAAGGTCCAGGGCTTTTTTCCCCAAAGAGGGAAGATCTCAAAGAGCCTGAAGCTTCCCCTGTGGTAACAGAAGCAGTATCCAGCAAAACATGTTGGGATTTTCTGCTTCAGGAAGCTTTTTACCGGCATTTGGACAAGTTCAATTTGCATTTAATAGCTCAGAAATTGCCCTGTCTCCCCAAAAGAATCAGATGCTCGAAATGGCATCAGTAAATTACCACTACTGAGCATACACTTTTATATCCCATTTGTGAAGTTTGCACCTGTCTGTCTTTGTCAGCTTTTAGGGTCTCCATGACGACTTGAAGCTGTTCTTTATCTTTTATCAGCTCCTCACTCAAAGTCTCCAGATCTTGATTACTTTGCTTCTCTTTTTCAATTTGATTTTGCAACTTCTCAATCTATATGGAGAAAGCACACCAAAACACATCAGCCACAGCTTGACACAGTGACTATTTGCACTTTAAGTTATGAGGAATGAGATGGGAACTACGGCTGAAAGATGTAATCCTTCCGCAGCTTGCCAGACTCAGAGAGAAAAAATGAAGTGTTTTGATTTTCTCAGAGTGCCAAGAATCTCCTTCATGCCTATTAAGATGAGAGTATATAACGTACAGCAGTAAGAAATGCTTCACCTGCCTGCCTGAACGTCCTGTGTCAGTGATAAAGTTTTTGGTGCTCACCTTTCTGAGAGACTTGCTTCTTCCTAGCCTCTCCATCACTGATGGCCTTAATCTACCAGTGAATGCAGAGAAAGTTAAGACAGTTCAGTGAGCAACATAACTTAAAACATCAGGAACAGAGAAAATGCACCACAGGTTCCAAATTTACATTCCATCTCCCCGTGCTCCTTTGGCCCCCTGTTTTCCCCAGCAGGCGACAATACTGGATTTGAAAGATTTGTGAATAAGGTCCAGTCTTACAATGAACTGTTTTCACACTCCCTTCTTTTGAATGTTGTATTCATCAGGCACTAAGCACCGAGAAGCATTAGCTCTTCCTTTATATATATGCAGAGACCTGGGCTCCCCAAAGTCAGGAAATATTCCTTTTTATGCTTGTAAAACCACTGTGAGCACCTACATCTCGGCACAAGTATCAGCTCTTTATTTTTTTGTGTTGGTATTATGAACTTTGCCAACAGTGAAAATGTCAGTGAAAAAGGTATTAACAATAATTCTCACAAGTGGGAAATAGCTGGAGGCTGGGCTCTGCCTATGTCAACATGTGCCTCATTACAGGAAGTGTTTAAACAAGCAAGGGCTGCCCAGATTGGAGATAAGAAAGGCTTAACAGTTGAAATGTAACCATGTTAAGGTTCATTGGTCTCAAAGGAGCTGTTCAGAGAAAGCTGGAACAAGCTCAGTAATTCAGCAATAGCTGGTCTTCATTAGCACCTCCCAGAAAACTGGATGCAAGTAAGAAACTACTGTTTACAGCTTGTTTCAGTCCAAATCAGGAACGCAGAGAAAAGAGAGAGGCACTGAGACTGCCACTACTTGACTATGCCTGAAAGAAGGGTTTTCTATTATTAGCTCCTCTGAAAACCTTGCAAGAAAGGAACAAAATATGTATGTGAATTTTCCTTCACATTATCTCTTCTGGTATAAATAAATCTGTTCTAGCTACGTGATCCTTCCAAGCACGAGATCAGTAGGTAGCCAAGCATACTCAAACAACAATTTTCTAAAGTTTCAGACAGTGGATGAAATCTGACTCCAGTTAAATGACTTTAGGGGGGCAAGATTTTACTGTGGGTATTTTATATAGCATGTATCAAGTCTCTGTACACTGAGAGACAACTTTATGTCTCACACAGACTACAGAATGCTGTCTACTACCATTTTCCCCCCAGTCTTCCTGAATGAGAGGTGAAGTCCGTCAACTGGCCTGTGGTATTCAGTCAACAGCTCCAACCATATTCTTTGTTTCTCTGGTGAACTGTTTGTCCACTGCAATTGCTCTTAATAGCAGTATTTTTACCTGTCATTCTTCTCCTCATTGGTCTGATACATACAGTGCTCTCCTTTCACTACCCAGGCATTCTCCACCGCTGTTTTTTTGCCTTGTTTAACTACCAGACCTGCAGGTGACTGTACCATGTCAACGCATTCATCATCATGGAAAACACCACACTAATTCTGGAATCACAACTGCTGACACCAATACAGTGCCGTAACAAGAGTTGCCCACAGGAATGTGCCTGGGGCAAAGCCAAGGGTTGGCCACAGTTGTTCAACCAACTTACATTGCTGGATACCACAGGTATCTGCTGAGTGTTTTATACGCCTTGGTCTCAAATTTTAAGCACGTAAACTAGAGCGAGAGTGAACTATTCATGTACAACAGGTCTTAAATGGGAGTATGGAAGGAGAAGTATAGTGAACTTAATTTTTACAGTTTTCTTTGTTCACAGAAAAAAGCCAAGAAGCAGAACCATTCTCTCAACTTGGGTCAAAAGCTCTCCAGAAGACGGAATGATCCAGTGAAGGGAGAAACAGGCACTCTGCTAGTTACAGGCTGATACTCCATGACCAGCATTTCACATCCAGATTCTTTTGTCCCCTTGCCCTTTAAAGCATTCAGAGAGCCCCAAAATCTTTGTATCAAAATCTCACACATACAGAGGTTACAGCAATAACGGGAAAAGGAGAAATGAGCCGTATATTCTGGATAACTTAGCTAAGATACAAATGTGGGAAAAACAGACAAGCAAATTTTTAATACTCAGACTAGCAAGTATCCTCTTTCCCAAACAGCACTTGGCTCAATTAGTCAGAGTTCAGGATGCAAGTTCCTAGCCAGGCAAAAATAAAGCTCGTGGTTGGAGGTGAAGTGAGCACTGTGTTTCACAATGACAAGCACTGAGCTGGCATTTTTGCTAAATGTAATCACAGTTAATAACAGAGTGGAACACACACATACACATAAATAAATTTAAAAAGTGATGACCTGCATGTTTGTTACAAAGATTAAAAGAACCCAGATCTTTTCAGAGAGGGAGATTCCAGAGAATTTCTAATAGCCACAAGGACAAAACAAAGAGGAGCTGATCCAGGACTATGGACAGCAAAAAGGACTTATTTACATATATACTAACCTGAATTCACCGCCGTAATTTATTTTATTTTCAGGGAAACACTATTAAAACTTCCAAAAAAGCAAAATAGTTCAATGTGGCCATGGCTTTCTTGCCTAATAGTGACTGCCATAAGACAACAAAGAGGGACACCATCAACAGCACAATCTGACAGGGGCAAACAAGCACTGAAAGACAGCTTTTATGAAACAGGAACAGTCACTTCTGCTTACAGTGATGCACATAAGTAGGCAGTGAAGTAGAAGGCAACAGAATACACCAATGTTAGAAAACAATTAAACAGACGGGCCCAAAAATGTGCCCAGTCTTCTGGGGAACATGGGTGAATTCCCTGCAATCCCTCATCGTTCAGGAATGATGCACCGTGTTTACAAACCAAAAAGCTCTGCTTGTTTCTGTGAGCAAATTACCTTTTTGCTAAGCTGTTGATTTTCCTTTTCCAGTTCCACAAACTTTAGGCTGCTCTCTCTGGAGGTCAAGGAGGCATCTCTCAGCTCTTGGATTGTGTTCTGCAAGCTCTGATTATCCTTCTCTAGCTTCAGTATGCGACTCGAAGCACATTCATTCAACTCAAACACAAAGGACTTTCTGGCTGTTGAAACATGAGAATCAGAAGGTGGCACTAACCGGTTCGCGAACATCTCCCTTCCTAAATCCTTAAGATACACTTATACGAAGATAATTGCAGTCAGATCCTTATCATTTCAGCTTGACTGCTAAGTACACACTTTGTTAAAAACAGAATCCATTTCCACAGATAACAATTAAGCCCTTTAATAAAGAGGGAATCATCTGAACAGATAATCCTCTTACAAGTTACTTTCCTCATGCTTCTTTAACTTGCTTTAGCCACCTTAGCAGCTATTTAATGTCAGCAGCAAAACATACCTTGATACCTTCTCATACTTGCATCAGAGGAAATAAACTGAGATAGAATGTAAACCACGGTGAAGGGTTTGCCAAAACAACAAGATGGCATGCTCCCAAAAAATCTTACAAAAGTGAGTACCAATGCTAGTTTTCACAGCTATTTTATCAAGAATATGCTGGACCAGGGAGAATACTCTACTACCAGGCTCTTAGGCACAGGACATCTATCAGAATGTTGATCATAGAGAAATGTCTGAAGTTGAAATCTCAGAACTAATAAAATTTATGCAAATTTTACAAGAGATGTTATTTTACTCTAAATGCTTGTAGATCAAAAGTCTTACTATCTCTCAGCCTTAACTCCAAGCACCAAAGCCTCATTGTTTTGTTAATTTCTCTGCTCAGCATCTGAATAATTGTAAGAGCAACCTTCTGTTTCACATGGAATAATTACTGCCCTTCACCTCAAAAACCACATTTCGTATGAAATTGACTTCAATGTTGTCTTTAAGTCTGAGAAAACTATTAACTCCTGCTAAATAATCAGCACTACTACATAGAGCACACTGAATACTTTAAAGCTGGCAAGTTTCTGAGAATGGTAAAATTCCATTTGTCTCTTTTATGAAGCATCACCTAGAGAGTTTTGGTCAAATGAAGACTCAAATAGTAAACATTTACCAAACACTCCAGGTGAATTTTGTCCTGAAGCAAAGACCATCTAAATTACTTTTCCCCATACTTGTTTTTTAAGTGACTTTGAATAGAATATTCCAAATTATCAGGTAAAATTTTTGGCTATCTGCCACCCTTGCCAACTCAACTTGAAATCCAGGAACAGGAGGCTTTCCAGAAGAGCTTTGCAGACTGACTCTATTTGTACAAACAAGCTGCATTCAGAAGAGCAACACACATATAAATGAAACTTCTTAAAGAGATTTACTGTAAAAGTAAGATAGTGCTTCTGTGAAATATTTTATAGTTTCAAAGTTCAATATCCTCAGCATTTTTAAAGTCAAGCTTCCTTGACTGTTCCCTTTTTTTTTTTTTCCTGC